CCTTCTTTATGGCACCTTTTTCTCCTGCCTAATTCACAATCCTTTTCACTCACATTTATCGGAAAATCCAGCCATACCATTGATCATGTCAACCCCTTTCCTTAATCCAGGCCGGGATCGAAACGGTCACACACGGAGAGACTTTTAGATGCAAAATATAATGTAGCTCCGAAAATCTCGTAAATGATTCCGTAGAGTCCTCTCCCTTTGCATAATTATCCGTCTGAGCCGCTAAGCAGCAGCTTTCGTCTTGGCAACCTAAGTTTTAATGATATTCGGCATGCATTCCTATTGCTTATAACTGAAAGAGCGAACTACTTATAAATCGAAGCAGAGAGTGAGTAGTTAGAAATGAACTACTATAATTTAACCAGTAGTATGTATTGTGCGCTTTGCGTCTGAACCTATGTTAAAAGATCCCATAGCTGTAAAAATTTCGTCCCATGATCCATTGGCAATGTTTAAGCAAAGTTTTGGCTGCATAAGTAGGTGAAATCACTGCTTTTCTGTAGCCGTCTGCTGATCAGTATTTGCTTTCCGATCAGTCCTTCAACAAAATTAGGTACCACCAAGTTTTGAAGCTATCGTTGCTTGACTGGGTAAGTGGAGAAAATAATGGAATAAAATGAAGGCAAAGCAATAATCTAAGTATATGAGCATTACAGGGAACGTCTATTAAGTAGGTTTAGGGATTGAAGTCGCATATATACTTCTTAATATTTACTTAGTTACACTTAAAGGCCTTATAATTTCCGCGAATTTGGTTAAACTATATTTCGTGCACCGATCACTGACTGATGGCTTTACATTATCTAGCTTACACATAGTTTAAATTAGGATAATGTGAGTTGTGCGTTACTTGAAATAAAAGTTTGATTTATTTGCATGCAATTTGTGCGCATTTTGTAACTCCAATGACGAGGTGGCACTTCAGTGGAAATAATTTGCCTTTGCCGGTGAATTTTGGCGTCAAAAGAAAAGGGCTAAATATTGGCATTGGAATAATAACCGATCCATCCGTGATACTTCTTGATGGGCCGGCAACCGGCTTGCATATTCATACTGCCTCCAGCTTGATGAAACGGCTTAATCGGTGAGTCTATTCATTACATTTTATAATCCTCAAAGAGACTGAAATTAATGGAAGGTATTTTAAGCCTCAACAGTACAATACCGGCTTATTTATTTCAGTCAAGTTAAAAGTTGCATTCGAAATCGTTTACGGTTGCGCATGAACGAATCTGGGAGTAAATTCACGGATTAATGTGTAGTCACTGCCACCAGCATTGCAGCACCTGGCACCTCTCCTCTCCCATTGAAACGGTTGCATAAATTCTGCTTTAAAATTGCGTCAAATTAACATTCTTAAGACTACTTGCTTTACACTTGCTGAGTTTATCTAGTAGGTAAGTATCGCTTAAAGAAAAACTCACATTCTATTGCTCACTAATGGGTTAAGACGATTCCGAGTGATACAAAAGCGAGAAAAGCGATCGTGGTAGAATTCAAATTCTTAGAATTTCTTTAAGCAAGCCTTTACACGCACAGTAAGAATGCCGCGCACACGTTGTTTGCATCGCAAACCTCGCTTTCTGATGTTCCATTCCCCTATCGCCCTGTTAGGTAACTCAATGGAACCCACACCAACCCATTTACACTGTTGCACAAAACAAGGCGTTATATGAAAGTGAAGTTGTGCCGCAACCTTGTGCCACAATAAGAAATTATACTGCGTCGATCATTACTTGATTATTGCAGAAACGGTAGGAGACATTTACGGTTCTTTGTTTCTGTCAGATATGTCCGAATTCGTATGCTAATCACATAGTTCCAAATGAACACCACTTGTCGACACCAACTAAATTCATCAAAACATCCAAATATTTGTCAATGTAATTCTGGGATTTGGTATCAATTTTTCGCCTCACTTTTGGCCTAATTTATTTTAATTTTTTAACTTGACACAAAATGTATCACAATCGCAACTTCGTGCAAGAGTAAAATATTCAGTAAGTAAACAATTAAAAAGCTACCCGCCAATCACTAGCTTGTAATATCTTTCTGCTTCTTTAATCACTTCGCTTCAATTTATTGCCTTGACTCACATATGCCAGTCTAAACACCGCACATTCAAAGTTGTTTCAACTTTGCTTGATAAATTTATGCACTCCTGTTTGCTTGATGCTTAATTAGCACACGGATAAGAGCATTGTTTGCAGCCCAACAAAGTGTCATTTTTCTGTATTTTAGAATGCGATGACAACAACTTTGTCAGTTTGCCACTTATAAAGAAGTTTAATCAATTTATTAAGATATTGGGGCATGGAATTTTAACAAGTTTTAATAATTTTAATAATTTTCCTTGCAAAATATTCTTAATCTTCCCTTCATTAATATTTTAAGCTTTGCAAGCAATGTAAAGTTCTTATGAATATGTTGTAACAAATAATTTGCCGGTTTGACAGTGGCAATAATCCCTTTCCGTTCCACTGGAAATTTTTATCAATTCTCGAAAACATGTTTGCTTTTAGTTCCTTTAGTTATCTTTTATTAGGCTAATCTAAGAACTAATATTTTATGCTACATTTGGCTTCTTATGAGCATTAACTAACCGCTATTTTAATCCACAGTGAAAAATCACTTGGTGGTGTCTAAGCGAAACTTTTATGCACAAACTTTGCAAGAGAACGTCAAAGAATGAATGAAAACTGCATGTTTGCCCTTCTATCCTTACCTTTATACTATCTGAGGGGTATTTATCATCGGTCAAGTACAAAGCTAAGCGTCGTCCCAGGTCTCTTCATCGAGGCCTGATTGTGGGTCACTACGGTGCAGAAATTGCGGCAGACGAATTCGATTGGCAAGGCGGACAAGTCAAAACCACGGCCACTAAATGGCTTAAATGTCATTTCTTAATATCAGGGCCTCCAGATATGAGAGTAGCACAGGGTAGAGTGAGTGATGGTTGGTGCACACTCAAGGGACACTTGCATCCACTCTACAGGTTCGTACAAGTTCCATCATATGGAAATCGCACGAATTTCCATGATTACCCAGTAAGCTGGACAACTGCACTCATCTTTGCATCCTCGCTATTGGAGGAAACTACATTCCTTATCAGTGGTACAGATCAGCGGAACAGTCAGGACCGGAATACACACAGGTGAGAATTTGCATGCTCAACATCTTTGCGCCACAACTAATTGCAAAGACAACATTAAATAACTGCTGCACATACATTGCTGGTGGCATTTATTGTGTCAACATGGGTAAATGAATCGCGTCCAAGTACATCGCAATCTCTAGAAAGCGAATTGCAAGTTGACCTAAACGAGATGGCACTCTTTGATTTGCCTCGTGTCGTCTGCCTTGCAATCACTGCGCAGAAGGTCTCTGTTCATCTCCACAGAGATCACTGTCTGACCAATAAGGTAGGCATCAACAGTCCCTGGCTCCTTCAAGTATGATGCCACTTTCAGTGCAGATGTGCCAACACATTTGAAAATAATAACAAAGTAATTTAACAAAGTCTTTGGATCCATCCACACACAGCCACGACAAATCACGGCAATAATATAGCCTACAAATGGGGTTGGTCTGGTGGCAGCATCTACAAAACATCTGCAACGATTGACTAATAATATAGGCAAGCAGTTTCTTATGTTAAGGGGATTTAACAAGGACAAGGCTGTCAAAAGTAGCTCCACTCTTCACTTTTGCAAAACCTACTCAGACTCTGTCGTACAAATGCCTCTCCCGTTTGGCGGGCAAATGCCATTGTCTTAAAGGCATAAAAGAACTCACGTCCATCCACACCATGTCTCCAAATTAAAAATAATGCACTGTTGTAAGGAAGCAATACGGAATTTGGACTAAACGGCCAAAGGAAACCTCTCAGAATACACACTTTACTGCCACATGCCTATAGTGAGCACTGCCTTACGCACAACCGTGAAGGACCCAGTTCAGGCAAATAACGATATGCATTAAAAATAGTGGGGTGAAAAAGAAGGTTTACTATTCCAATCTTTCTCTAAGAAGAAGCATTTGATGCCATGGCTTTTAAATGAACTTGTAGCACAACAAAAGCAGAATTGAATAGAGAGCTGCCTCACATATGTACTGGGGATAACCAGGATAGTTCATGTGGAAATAAATTCCGCTACAGAGGAAATGATAAACAGAAGGCTAGAATTAACTCTTTCTACCTCCCTCTCGGCATTTTTCGTCAAGGCTATTGACAACGCCACCTGCCTTAGGGATGCAATGGTTCAAAATAGCGAAAGGTAGCGTTATCACGGCGGAGTCAATTTCCTGATGTTGAAGACCACAGCCAATGATGGAAAATTTGATATCACAAACAGAACGCTACGCCTAAGGACATGCTCTCAAAAAATATTTTAACAAAGCTTTATAGTGCAACATTTCAAATTCAACATGCATTGTGGGGTCAATAAAAACTAGTCCCGATTAAATATCTAGACTAATGAGGGACTGAGAGAAAGCGGGAAAGATGGTAGTGGAAAAGGCCTTAGAGTATGATATGCTAAAGATGAAATTCATGGGATGATACAAAATGGCCATCACTCCCCGATATAGTTCTTCAACTGTCCACAAAAGATCCTCTCCAAGTATCCAGTTCCTACCAATGCAGAATTTAATTCTCTACCTACCTGTTTCCTACCTGTTATCTACCCAAATTCGTTCCGATTCCTTGGCTCGCATTACTACAAGCTTGCTCCATTTATCCGCCCCAGGTCCTTTCCAAATATCTACATCCCATCACTCCAATACCCAATTTTCTACATATCTACCTCGGCTCCTACTGGTCATTCAGTTCTCACCAGTTACGAACCTAGTTCCTATCACTTCGGGACCCAAAGCTAGGCATGCCTGCCTTGTTCCCTCTTTGAATATCAAACTCCTCTAACTCTTCTACCTAACTCTGCCTATTTGCCCCAATTTCATCCTATAAAGCTCCTAACGCTCATTAATCCTCCAAACACCACATGACCTAATTCTCTACCTGTCCACCTCATTTCTTTCATACGCCTTACTCTCCATTGCTCTAGGTCCTGATGCCCCACACATCTATAACTCTCTGCAAAACTCCTCTGCAAGTAGATACTTTCCATCACTTCTCATCGTAATTATCAATCTCATTTGCCTTTGTTTCTCTCCAGTAACCCAGATCCCATCATTTCACATCCTACTTTTCTATCGACAGCAGGTCCTCTCAAACTAACCAGTTCCCGACACTGAAGCACCTCGTTTCCAGTCATCCAGTTCCCCTCACTCTACATCCCAATCCTTCACATATCTGCCTAATTTCTGACTTTCTACATCAGTTGCTCCTAATCTTCCATTTATTATCACTCCAGATTCTAAGTCTCCACCTATCTGCCCCAGTTCCTTCAAGTCTCCTAGTTCACACTACTCAAGAATTTGATTCCTTTACTAATTTACCTCAGAACCTCCCAAGTTTTAGTTTTCCTTGCTGCAGAACCTAAACTGCCTTTTTTCACTGATTAAGCTTTTCTTTGTAGGATAAAAGTACAATTCAAAGACCCACCTTATCCATAATTAATGCGACCCATTGAAACCGCTAGGGTCTTGATTAAGTAATCCGCCTCGATGATGAGGTACCGGGGAAAGGTGACCAACCTTGTATCGATTAGTCCATATGTTCACACTGCGATCTTATTTCTCTCTCTTGTTGACTTCAGAGGATGCAAAAGTGGAAGGACCACTCCTCACACTGCAGAGGATCTCCCTCTACCACAACGCGGAAGCGACGACAGGGTTTGTTGACCTATTCCTTCTTATCTCTCCTCCAGCTACATCATCTGTCTGTTTGTCTGTCTACCTTTTAACCACGACGCAGTGAACACAGAACACGTCACTTTGACTCCTTGAAATGGAATGTAGTGCATGTAAATAAAAGTTTCATGGATAAAAGGGCAATAAAATGGTCTGATACTAACCTTTGTGCATGCGAAGTTGGTCTCTTTCCTGTTGCAAAGTGCTTTTATCTTGTGATCGTGCATTATACCTGATTATTTACAAACACCTTTTGTCAATGCTCATTCACGCAAGACATGTCAAAATGAGCTTTCGCAGAAAAAAAAATGTGTTTCGACTACTTAATCATTGCTGGACAATGAATGTGAGGAACTGGCTTAAAGGAAACTTCATTACAAGTGCCAACTAGAGATCAAGTACTGCCTTCTGTTCAGCTGAGATGGGCATTTGGTCACTCAGTCTACTGAAACTGCCGAAAGTGGCTTTTAATTATAAGTAGGAGAAAGGGGGATTTGGCATAGTCTGAAGAAGGAAGTGCAGTTGTTGTAACCTTTGTAAGGGCAGAGAGGTTAATGACCTTGTTGCATGGAGGAAACAATTGTCACAGTTAAAGTGGGTATGAGGACTCGAAAGCGGGAGTGATAGTGCACTTGAGTGCATGGGTGGCCAGCAGAAAGCCACATCATATTCCCAACTGTTGCAATTTCAAAACAAGTGAATGTCCTTAAAAAAACTGCAATGCCACTCAGGTAGGTGCAACTTGAAGGGTACTTTGCACAATCGAAGGCGTATTTGCACAACTATGACGATAATTCTAAAGGCGGAGGCTATTTTAACCGTAGGTGAAAAATAGGAGCAATTATAATTGCGTCCCTCCCCACCATCAGCCTGACGCCTGATTGGCGTCCGAGATGGCATGGACTGAAATGGGCTCAGAATATACCGTAGTGGAGCAGCATATAGTGTTGCGGATTTGGAGATAGAGCACTCTTCCTTTGCCTTCCCCATCCCAAGCACAGTTCATTCGGCGAAATGGAGGAAAATGCAGATTTGGTGAAATTGACGAGATGGATCATTGACTCAGAAGTCAGTCACCTCCTCAGCTGACGCTTGAATAACTATTAAAACACCGATTGCTGCAGTACGGGATCTGGTAGAAATGGGCTAAATAAACGCAGCCTTTGTTTGTAATCAATTTAAAGAATTTGAAGAAAAGGCCCAAGAAAAACATGATCAGCACTGAATTAAAAACATAGGATGTGTTTATTTTGTAAGAGGTTTTACCACTGAAGCCTTAACGAAAATGAACAGTGTAGTCCCCTGTCGCGTATCTAGCGACAGGTTTCAGTGAGTAAGCAGTTCATGATTCAGTATGAAGTCGTAGGGGTGCGGAAGTGTTTGCGAAAGAATGTTAATTGTGAGGTCTCAGCCACCAATTTAGTGGGTGAGAATGGCATGCAAATACACTTATATTTGTGGACAATGCAGATGTACCGCGCGCCTCTTTACTAGGCGTTGTCTAGCCATCAGAAAATCTGTTCAACTCTTAACTAGACAGAGAAATATAGGGCACAACAATGTGGTTATCACTAAGCCAGATGAATCAAATGGAAAAGAATTCCTTGTGGCGCTTTTTTAGATAAAACGACTTGAAAACTGGATGAAGTGCTTGCGAATTTGTTGCCATGTCCGGAAAAATGAAGGAATAATGACAATGAATTGTTGCATAAAAACTGATTCACCACTCGATTTGTGGAAAACGAGGAAATTGGGTTCGGTAGCAAATACATAGTTGTGCAAAGAAAAGCGGGACATGCATGTATCTTCTGTTAGTTTCTGCTGTCCAAGTAGACTTCAAAAGATGTGGCACTTACAATGTAGTAATAACGCCTAAGTGGTGCATGGATAAGAGGCGGTTTCTAGTTGGCCTTGTGTGTCTGTCATGTTGACCATAAAATGTTTTTAAATAAAAACTCGGAGATTCTTGACACCAAATGGTAGAAAGCGGTTTGAGATTACAGTCACTCTGACACGCTTGTAAGATAAGAGTCGATCCACGTGATAGTCACGGCAATGAATACGTCGTAAGTCAATTGCCTCCTTTCAAATTCACGTGGCATCTTGACAAGTGGAACAGCCCCATCATAGAGGCAATAATCAAATTCGGAGCGCACACAGAGGCTTTTTGAAGTTCAACGTGTTGATTCAATCAAGGAATAGTCTGCTTTACTACTTTTTTGCATTGGCTGTCAAATCACTCGGAGTATGTAATTGCAGTTCTTTAAAGCACCCGTTCTTTTTTTGAACATACAGTGTGTGTCAGGTCAGAAATAAGCACGAGCTACTTTTTGTGCTTTAGGTGGTATCTTGAAGTGACTCACGCAGATATTATGGCGATGAGGCAATGAAGATTGTAATGAAATGCATGTATGCAAGACTGCAAGCAGTCAAGGGTAAGACAGCAATTTAGAGTGGATGCCCTCCTTGGCAATCGATGCAATAAACGATGCATCCCATGGATTCATTCGGCTTAATGAGTCAGTTTTTCTGATCCCTGTAAAACTTGAAAACTGGTGATTTCTGAAGAAATGCCCTATTGGTTGAAAACGATATCTCAAGGCGGCAATGTAAGTCGCATTTCATGCATGGGCCTATCAAACAGTGCACCAGAATGTGTCATCCTCACTCAAATGTTCGCTAACTCATGCCATCAAAAAGGCCATGCACTTGATGATTTACTAAGTGTAGGCTTAATGCTACTTCTGTCCTTTGCGTCTCTGATATAACACTGCATACGTGGCCTTTTCATTTTTTGTGTTCCTACACTTAGGCATAACCATGCATGATAAATGGTTAAGTATTCACTTTAACGCTTCACCCTCAGCCCACTTGGCAAATTCAAAGCACACTACTTCCATCTTAGAGTATGTGCTTTATTTGTGTTGGAGTACAGACGGAAAAGGAGAGCATCAAAGCACGTGAAGGCGCAAGGTACACACGTTCCAAATGCACTCCATTTTGATAAATAAATTTCAAATTAACGGGATGAAGGATAACAATTACCTGTGATCAAAATGTGATGCTATTTTACAAGTGTTGGCAACTGAACGAAATAGCCATTTGGTAGGCTAACTGGAACGATGGTGAATGGGTTCACCCCAATTAACTAGTGCCTTCAACTACGGCAAAATCTACAAATTCCTCCCAATTTATTTAAAATAAATAGGCTAGACATATTTGAATAGAAAGTGAACTGGAAATGCTACTAGTTAACAAAGAACAGGCCGAAATTATTATTCTTGCGAATGTATGCTTTAAACAGATTAAAGTAGTACTCATAAAATTCGTAAAAATCTTTCCATTTTGCAAGTTAAGTAAATTTAAGGTTTTGAGACTTATGCATTAATTTAATTTATAATAATTTTATTTTCTGGTGGAAATTGCGTGGGATATGTTGTTAATGCCGTAGATTAAACGCCTCCAACAGCTACACCACAGGTTGGGCATGACGTCAGCTTCTATGTAAACCATTTGTAAGAAATATACTTCATCACTCCAGTGCATCCCTCTAGCACGTTTATAGAATACCATGAGAGAGAGAATGCCATTACCAAAAGGTAGTAGTGTAAATAAGTGTAGCAGATCAAGTGTAAGTATAGCCTCGGAGATAATTTATGCCCCTGACTGTCGAGTGCTTGTGGGTGGAAATACTTCTTGGCTGGTGTGTATGAGCACGTGAGTGCATTTTAGCCATTAACAGGTCCATAATGCGAGTGCAGCTTCTATAAAGTTCTTGCAACCGAAACCCTCTTGCGAGCTATATCAGGCTCGTACAAACAAGAGCCAATGTCCTTATTTAATAGGAAGCGAGTATGCAGCAGTTTTTATTTCAAAACAGGATAGTTGATATGTGGTAATGGCTTACATTTCCAGTAATTTCATCGCTTGAAAGGAGTAGTGATTAAACTGTAGGTAAGGCGCAATCCATTTTGGTTTAAGCACTTTGACTGTCTGTCAACTTGTAGTTGGAATATTCGATTTAGGTTACTGTGTGGCATAGTGCTGGAGACGTCTACTTCGACTCGACAGAATATGTTGCTTACCATGATTAATTCTCGAACGTTCGAGGTCATCTGGAAACATGGAATTTGCACACACTTACATGCTTCACACCGCTGCAATAAGTGCCTCCAAGACGAAGTACTAACATCCAGTAGTGCAAATAGGTGCATAATCTTTTCCTCTCTCTTTAACTACTTTCTTTTCTCCACAAATTATATAAAAAGAACGTACCTTAAATTCTCCTAGGGTACGAATCACTTACATATTTATGGGACTGAATATAAATACTTCCAATCTTAAAAAGTCGTTTTTTTCTTAGTGCTCTTTTTTCAGACATTCCTGAAGCACTTGTGAGCACTTCTGCTCTCTTCTTCCTCATTGGTTTATGAGACATGGAGACACCTCATGTGTGCTAGTATCTACAACAAGTATAAGAATACCAGCTGGAATCAGCGCCTACGTCAGTAGGTAATGTGATCTGAGTATGCATAGGTTGTAAATATTAGAAGCCCCGTGGTGAAATGTTTACCTCTCGATTACTCTGCCTGGTGTCTAAGGAGTGTTGGCGACCACACACACATATAACATGATGTGACCTTCAGTAAATTTTAGCTGCTGCTTTTATTTCTGAAAAATCTACCTCACTTATTAGGAATTTTGTAGGCAACCATTGACTACTTTGTAATGGAGCAGATAGAGGCTACAAATGCAAATTCGTTAGAAAAAACACACGACTATATCGACAAATACATAGTTTTAATTAATAGAGCAGTAACTTCGAAATTGCATTAACACAATAATTTTCATCATTTGTTGTTCCAAACAACTTGTGTAATCGTGGGATATGATGGGAAGTTAATCAGTAGAGACATTGGAATAGGTTCGGCTTGAAGGGAGATTGATTTACGATAAAATTACGTTAAACCGCTTGAGTTTAAAAACTGGGGTCATGAAATCAGTGCCGATTGACCTCGGATACATTGGTATATGATAATAAATCTCAAAGCCTGACACCTTTCCATTTTTTATGGTACCCAAATATGCCCCTACTAAATTATCTGTTCATTCACTAATTTATATCTGGAATGACACATTAGAATAGCTGGCGTTTAAGTTTACCGCCATGACTTTGAAACATACAAATAAATGCTTTGAGGAACCTTTTTCTAAACGACTTGAAAGTTGTTTGAAGTGCATAGAAAGAAGGGAAGGACGGCGTATAATACAACTAAATGTATTTATAAAGGTACTTGAGAAACATTGTAGCTGATTCGCATATAAATACACACAAGGCATTTTGCCAGCTATGAGCGTGTGCCATGTTGGTAATCGACACTGTACTTATTTTTGTTGCCTATTGCTCAGGTACGTACTCATTTCCTCATCTTGACATCATTTTCTGTTATTTGCGTCACTGTATGCTATAACAATGTGCTTGCGTCAGCAATAAGTATAGCCTTTGTGAGTTGGCCACTTTTACAAAGCACTTAGTTATGATAAGCTCCGTTGTCGGCCAAGTATGCATGCATGCTCAGCAATAGGGTATGCAAGAAATGACAGTTGTAAAATATGGCATAACTGCGCAGGGGCTTCTTTGTGGCATACTGATTGAGTGGAAGTAAAGTGACAGTACAGCTTTCAGATGCAGTTGCAAGTCATCATAGCTCATCACCATGGATGGTTACATCAGGTGAGAAGTGTTCTCAACTCTTGAATTACAGCATTGACATTGCCTCCACTGTGGATGTTGTGACCACACGCTGCTAAAATTAGGATGTACGAGAAGAAAACCACCCATTTAAAAGGTAAACAAGCCAATAGATATGGAGTTGGGCATACGGGACTCACTTGCATTTGCATCGTGCAATAAGTAGCCCTTGCATTCAAATTTCATAGTGGCATTTTGTGCATTTCTCATGACAGCACCTCAAATAAGTGCATGCTGAAAACAGAGAAGCCTTCTAATTTTTGACAGATGGAGGCACATGTCGTAAGGCAGTTACATGTTGCTCTCACAAATGACCTAGACATTTATGCAAACACACCAGACAAAATCTGAATGCTTGTTTATATCTGAAAAAGAAGAGGATCCACTGCTATGAGGTTCTCGGATCGTCGGGACACCAAAGGGACAATTCCCAACATGGCACTTTCGTTTCCCCAAAGGAGCCGTAAGTACTAAACACTTGTATAAACAGACACGCATTTCTAACATTTCTACTCAGCTACTTCGAGATTCAAATTTACACCACATCTGTCATTTTTTTGGGGATGTTACGGATAGGTAGTGCAAAACATGGTTTCATCCAGTATCACTGCTAGTGTGCTCATGCCCTAAATGTTACAATAGGCATTTTAATTTTTTAGTTCATAGTGGTGCTGACGGAAGACAGGGTTGCAAGCCACCTAAGAGTTATAAATGGTTCATGTTATATTGGTGGTAAAATCGACGGTGGTCCTTACCAAATGGATGAACGTGCGTTGATCTTTCATAACGCCTCTTCATTGCATCATCCACTTCCCCTTTTCGATTATTTGCCCTTTGTAAAGAAAAACACTCGAATTAAACCAGTGAGAGTGCTTCAAAATATTGCCACTTTATCAAAGTGGACATTCTCAAGTTGATTCCGTGTACAGGAAGTAGTTGGAAATGAACATCCTTGCACGCATGAAAAGAATAGGGGATTAAGTCTTTTCGTTATTGTAAGCGAAAACTGTTGTTTTAGAAAGCGCAAACATTACTCTACGCGACGTTCCGGAACAGGCGGGATGCAAGTATGGCTTAAAGACAGCCTATTTTCGACAACTTACTTTGTGCCGAATTGTACTTTTCCAAGGCCGCAGATGGGTTTGTTGTGTCGGGTTCGAGAAGAATATGCAGGCATTCTACACGATGAACGCATGTTCTAATTAAATGAAATCATCAATTCATTCATTGAAAAACCTGGCATTTTGAGTGGTTGATATGGTGTATGAGGTCCATTGCATGCCCAAGGCCTTCATATGTCTGAGTGTGGAAAGAAATACCCTGAAGTATACTTACCGAGTTTATTTGCATGCAGGTAAAGTTGACTTAAACACATCGCATCCGCTTTCTCGATTTTCGAAAGGGCAATCACAGATCAAACTCAAATTCGGTGTTCAAATCGGAGAAAGTAAAACAACTGTTTGTGTTGATTTTAAAAATATTGACACAACATTACTTTCTATTTCAAACAATACTGACCTAGTTCGGTCCGTCGTTTCCTCACGATTCTGCATAATATCATTTCCACCACATGTTCCTTAAACTATAGTTTGCATTTTTTCTAATCGGAGGATTCGTGTGCAGTTGGATAGGCAATAATCTTGCAGTGGTCGAATCGCCTTACCGCAGTGAGTTTATTGGGCTTGCAAGCGGGTTATTTCCAGGTTCATGAACGAAACTTATGCCCCAAACACACTTTTCCCTGCCCATTCAAGGTACTCTGACGAAAGATGCACAGTCCAGCTTGAGCATATTTGGCGTGACAATCTCTCGAAATAACACGGAAAATTATACCACTCTTGCTTGGCAAACGTTCAGTGGAAGACTGGCCGTTACTGTTGATTGGACGCATCCGGATCAATGAGGCAGGACCACTGCCTTATTCCGCTATAAATCTTTTTCAATAAAAATATTTTACTGTAAGGCTGCTAAAAAGTGAGTGCGATCTAAAGGAAAACAGCTGTGTAACAGGTCTAAGCATACAGCATGTCAGAAAGATTTAAAAGGATTGCATTAATTTGGGTGAATCACCAGAAATAGCGGATTGTGACGGTAAGTTCAAACACAGGCCTATTTCATGTTCCTCATAATGTCATTCAATGCTGCGTTCGTTAAAAGGAAGTTCTGCTTTATGCTTGCATACTGCCCTCAATTTCATGAAGCACTTTGCGCTTTGGAATAGTTGACACTAATGAAGTGTTGATAAAATGCATTTTGGTAAACACTTTCCATTACTTACTTAACATGACTTTCAGGAAATCGGGGTGATAGGGGTAAGTAAAAATTGTAGTGTATCGTTACTAAATCTATGCCGCGGAAATTGTGGAAAAGCAGCTAGTTTTGGAAGTTGCATTTTGCCTCGTATTCTTGGCGCATTTTCCACCCTCCAAATTGTACTGCATGCGCATTTTGTTAATACCAATATTCGGTGCTCAGTACTTAGTCCCTCTGTCCAAAGCATATTACCCCAATTCCAACGCCAAGCCTATTACTTTGGACGTAAATTCGCTCATTTTACTCAACAGCTATTGCCTATTACGTGACAGAGGAGCAAATAAACCAACATAATGATCATTGCAATAGGCACTACTTTGTTTTTTAAATTCACAATATTACGTGGAGCATTGCACGATCTATGATAGCATTGAGTCTGATCGCTTTTATTTAATAATCTGTTGCAGATACAACCTCACCAGCTTTATTAACAACAACTTCTTCTGGTAAGTCCATAAAATGAGGATTTTTGGTAAAAATCACTATCTTACACACTTGTCTGCAGTGGCGCATTTACTTAACAGATTTCTCCAAGTTTCCCCATCCCTCAGGATCTGGATCTGGATCTGAGTTGACTTATGTCCTGAAGAGTGAGTTGCTTGCTCATACCGTTAGTCCACCTCGCAAGCAGCAAGAGTGCGATTTATAATATAACTTGGACAATTATATGCTCACCAAGTGCTTATAATAAATGCATAGTCTGGTGATTAAGAGCATTGTGATTTGCTCACTATGTCAGAATTGTGGTACTTATTAATCATCTTGCCCTCTATTTTAATCAGTTTGCCAAAATTATTTCTGCAGATTATTTATCGCTTAATTGAATCACACTTAATTCGACGTGTTTATGTCTCAAGAAGGCCACGTTAATTTAGATGGCCTCACCTTTGACTTGTAGTTTTCTGCCTTTGTATAATTTGCTTTCATTTTAGCTGTGTTTGGACCGCTGTCGATGCTCGTACTTTTGAAAAGCCTTGTTAACTAAAAAACGAATGCTTGAAAGAATGTTAAGAATGCCCTAGAGCCATTTGCAATCCAACGTGTTCTAACCTCTTTCACTTAATTTTACCACTTCTCAAACTCGCTGATACAATGTGTTCCCATTATCTCGCGCAATTGCAAATCTAATGCTTATGGTAAGTCCTTACAGGTTAAGTGCCTACTCGCGTGCAAAGATGTTGGGTAAGAACAACTAGGTGTCCTTCTTAGCAAATTAGGCTTAAGCAATTGAACAAGTTCTATGATCGTGGTAAAGGAATACGTTTCTAATAGATGAGAGAATTGTTAACTGACGCTTGCTTTGCCTTCATTTCGTTCGGAATCAAGACCTTTCTTCAACAAGTGAAGTAAAGCAAATGATTGAGGGATCACTAGATCTTGAAGCACATGTACATTAGTAGTGCTATGAATCCAGTCTAGACGTGCATATCATTTTGTGGTGATATGACCGACCAATTGCTTTAGAATACCTCTAAAGTCATTTAAGTTTGCTTAAGCATACATAAATAAAGGACACACTGTTCAAACTTGTCATTTGACGGAATTTGCGCTGTGGCTACTATTGCATTCGACCCCTAATTGAGCATATTTATATGGTCAATGATGAATTTAGATGGCAATTTTGCTTGACTCATCAATATTCCTGCTGTCAATCAAGCGGAATTTTGTGCGAATTTTGTGGAATTGGTTCGTCTTTCGAGAAAAAGCGTTGATTGAGTATCTTTTACTTCATTCATGGTACCCTTTCAATAACGGTGTAGGGGAAAACTGTAGAAGGACGAGAAAGTGTAATTAGTGGAGTGGACCAATGCCAACGTGGAGTGTGTCTATGAACCGAGAGGTGTCCATTGTGAATTTATGTACGCATTACACGTAGGTCGTCAATTTAACTAAAGCCGTTTCACAAAAATATGACATGGACTTATTCTGAAATGATGGTTGATTGCATAGAGACCTCTCAATTGTGCAATTCTCCGTGCGCTAGGTAAAATCTTATATCTCAGTTTGTGTGAGGTACTGGGATAGATGCAGCGAATATCCACTAAAGAAATTCCAGTCCCATTTTCATATCCGGAAAACTACAATGCAAAATCCATTG